TTAATTTTTATTCCGCTTTTTCCTTGCCTTTATCCTTGTGTCATTGTATCATTCAATATTCTAACATTAGGGCATGTCATGGCAACACAATTTACATTATATCATCATTCATAATCCATTACAACTTAACATAAAATTCTTCGACACATTACATCACATAACATAGTGACATTAGTTCCATAATGCTCTTCTATCTCAACACCAATTCCTTGCCTTGATCCATGGATGAGTCATTCCCTAATTGAGACATAATTTGACACAGGAGGAATGAGATTTCTTAGAAATCTCAGTAGTATTTGAATTACAATTATCATGCAAATCAAACAAGTTACAATGTGACATGTTATAGAACTTCAAGACATCCTCAAGTCACATAAAATCATTCTTAGTCTCATGCTAGGAGAGGAATATCAACACTTCCACATTAACACAAATTAATGCATTTGGCCAAAGCATAAACAAAGGTTATACAATCAACCAATATCACAACACAAGCTCTTAAATCCAAGCAACCAACAAATCACATTAAACACGCAAGATAAACAATCAAATTATAATTCAAAGCTACCTTTTATCACTTGATCAATTGGTCTCCTTATGGGATAATGATCCTCCTTAACTCCTCCTCACAAAGCCTATCAAATCAAGCATAAACATAGGCATATCAATAACCAAACAACTTAATACAATCCTTAAACTTTAACTTAACAATTTCCCTCTTTTTCTTTGATTTTTAACAAAATGATTTCTCCTTTAAAATCAATAACCTCATGGCTCATTCCTATACAATTTTTCATGAGGAATTCAAATATGAAATCAGATTTTTGAAAATCAAACTCCTTCCCCATGAATTCGCCTTGGCCGAATAGGGTATATAAACTTTCAAAAATTTCATTTTTGATTCCAATGATTTTAAACACTTCCCAATGACATATCCCTACACAAACACACATTCTAAACCCATTAGAATCATCAAATCAATGAAAAACAATTTGCTACCCCATGAACAGTGCTTGGCAAAAAATGACATATAGAACCCTAGGTGGATTTTCTTCCAAAAATCAATCCATACACCACTTAATCTTGCTTATTCCACTTGGTATTTAAGGTTTCTATCCTTTTCTAAGCATCACATGGTCCACCAAAATTTTGGCAGCATTTTCCTTAATTTTTCAAGCCAAAAACCCTAATTAACCAAGCTTGAAACTTAGGAATAAGAAGGTATAAGCATACCTTAATGTTTTCTTGGTGTAATTTGAATGATTCCTTGCCTAAAACACTTGAGAATTTTGGCCAAATGGAGCTGGAGCTATAGTGGTAGAGTCTCCTCTTGTTTATCCAATTTTCTAACATTTATTTGTATTTTCCAAAGGGGTATATATAGAAAAATATGATCTGCCTTCCCTCTCCCTGTTTGGCTGAAATTTTCCACCTCATGGGGGTTATGTGTTAGTCATCAAATGCTAGAAGAAGTCGGGTTTGAACAAGTGGACAATTACTAGATTTTTCCAAGCATTTATCCATTAATTTTGCATTTATTGTAATTAAATATGGAGCTGTCCAGAAACTACACAAAATTGGACTTGAATTAGGCATAATGTGGGCCCCACAAATGTTATAGGCTGGTCCAAAAATATGGCCCACAAATCAAATCAAATCAAAATCCCAAACCATTTCGACACTTTATCGGTTACTATTCACTAGTAACATTCCATAATTTTTCTAGACTTTCAAAAATTCATTTCTCCCCATGAAAATTCACCTTTTAATATGGGTACATGATCTGAAAATTTTCAGAATTTTTCACCACCTCTAGGTATTTATTTTGAATTTTCTCTGCTTAGACCTTTATCAGTATCACTACGGGAAAATAAATTCCCTAAAATTAATTCCTGAACTTTCAAGACCTAAAATTTTTTTAATAAATTCAAATAAATATTTAGATGATTTATCCATCATTTTTCCAAATTTATTGATGCCTCTAACTAATTAAAATAACTATTTTCCTCAGATTTTCTAATATTTTTCTAAAAAACCTCTGTTTACGGAAAATTCGATAATAATTTATTTTCCCAATATTTTCACCTTTCGAGCCTCAACCAAGGCTCCAAAACCTCTACTTTATGATTTTCTAGAAATTTTCCATTTTTTTTTCTCAAATTTTCTAGAAATTTTCTCAAATTTTCCCCCTTTTCGCTTCCTGGACCGAAAATTACAAAAATGCCAGCCTAAACTTTATCGGAGTTTCACATCAAAAGTTGTTTCGCCTCCCTATCTGGTTTCTATATTGACCCTCATCCCAATTTTTTAATTTCATAAGTCCCAGTGAAATTTCTCAGGATGTGATAATTCCTCCCCCTTTAAATAAATTTCATCCTCAAAATTTAGAAACATACGTCAATTAAATAGCTCTGGGTATTAGGCCTTCATGTCGTCTTCCTTCTCCCACATAGCGTCTTCTTGAGTTAGATCCCTCCAGACAACTTTGATAATCAGAAGAGCTTTATTCCGTAATTGCTTAATCTGCTGGTCTATCACTTTCACCGGTTTTACCTCAAAGGTGAGGTTATCTCACAACTCTATGTCTTCATATTTCAAGACATGTGAGGGATCCGATTGATATTTCTTCAACTAAGAAACATGGAAGACATCATGAATCTGGCTCATATTAGAGGGTAGGGCCAATCTGCAGGCTACCGGCCAACTCTTGACAAGATTTGGGATTTGGAAGGGTTAATAAATTTCGGTGTCAATTTTGGGCCTTGATCGATCTACCTACACCCATAGTTGGAGAAACTTTCAGAAAAATGTGATCTCCAACTTCAAATTCTAGAGGCCTTCTTCACACGTCGGCGTAACTCTTCTGTCTACTTTGTGCCATAAGCAGCCTCTGCCGAATCATTTTGATTTGTTGTGAGGTTTGCTCCACCAAGTCGAGACTAAACATCTTTCTTTCTCCCAATTCAGTCTAACACAATAGGAATCTATATTTCCTTCCATACAAAGCCTCATAGGGAGCCATATAGATACTGGAATGGTAACTATTGTTATAGGCGAACTATGCCAGTGGCAAGTACTCATCCCAGTTTCCTTTGAAATCTAGGGCACAAGCTCTTAACATATCCTCTAACATTTGAATAGTGCGTTCTGTCTGCCCGTCCATTTGAGGATGATAAACTTACTGAAACTTAGCTTGGTGCCCATGGCTTCCTGTAGTGCTTTCTAAAATCTAGAGAGAAATCTCGGGTCTCGATCAGAAACAGTCACTTTAGGCACTTGGTGCAACCTCACAATTTTCCGGATGAATATCCATGCCAGTTTCTTCGGTTGATACTCTTTCTTAATGGCCAAGAAATGAGCTGACTTCGTTAGGAAATCCACAATCACCCATATTGCATTATATCCTGATAAAGTACAAGGTAATCCCATTACAAAATCCATGGAAATGCTATCCCATTTCCATTCTAGGATACTCAGTAGTTGTAAGGATCTTGACGGTTTTTGGTGTTCCGTCTTCACTTTTTGGCAAGTGAGGTACCTCGACACATAGTCTGTCACATCTTTCTTCATACTAGGCCACCGAAATGATTCTTTAAGATCTCGATACATCTCGGTCATGCCTGGATGCATGGCGTATCGAGTCTTGTGTGCCTCTTCTAGGATTTGCCCCTTCATCTCTGAGTTTGGGGGAATATAAGTTCTACCCTTATATTTCAGGATCCCTTCCTGAGTTATCTCGACATCCCTCGTCTCATTTCTCCAAACTTTGGCTTTCAAAATATTGGCCAGTTAATCTCTCTGTTGGGCATTCTTGATTTGTTCAATGATCTATGCTTCTGTTTTTGCAGTGCCAATTTGGCCCACCATTAACCGTATCTAGCTAGTGAGATTCCAATCTCGAATTTTCTCAATCAACTCTTGTTCCTTTATCATCAATGACGTCACTTGTAGCGTCTTCCGACTTAACGCATCTGCTACCACATTTGCTTTCCTTAGATGGTATTTAATTTGATAATCATAATCCTTAAGTAATTCCATCCATCTCCTCTGTCTCATGTTGAGTTATTTCTGGTCTGCAAGTACTTAAGGCTCTTATGGTCACAATATAGTTCAATAGGTACCCCATATAGATAATGCCTCTAGATCTTCAAGGCATAAACAATCGCTGCCAGCTCAAGGTCGTGCGTTGGATAGTTCTCCTCATGAGTCTTTAACTGTTATGAGGCATAAGCAACTACTCAACCCTGCTGCATCAGCACACATCCTAATCCCTGTCAACTTCTGCTTTAATTCTTGGAAGCTCACCTCACACTTGGCATCCTAGTTGAATGAATGGTTCTTCTGAGTGAGCTTGGTCAGCGGTAGGGCAATCCTAGAGAAATCCCGTATAAACCTCCTATAATACCCTACCAGTCCCAGAAAAGCTTCTCACTTTGGTTGTCATCTTGGGCTGTTCCTGATTTAACATGGCTTCTATCTTGCTTAGGTCCACTGCTACTCCATCTCGGGTAATTATGTGACCCAAGAATTTTACTTCATTTAGCCAGAACTCATTTGCTCAACTTAGGATATAGTTGCTTTTCCCGCAACTTGCCTAATGCAATCCGCAGATGTCGTTCATATTCCTCTGGTGTTTTGGAATACACCAGGATATCGTCAATGAGCACTACTAGAAACTGATCTAAGTATGGCCAGAAAATCCTATTCATGTAATCCATGAATATAGCAGGTGCGTTTGTCAATCCAGATGGCATTACCAGAAACTCGTAATGCCCATACCTTGTTCGGAAGGCAATTTTCGGGACATCTTCTACCTTGATCCTCAATTGATGATATCCTAACCCCAAGTGAATCTTTGAGAATACAATGGCTCCTACCAACTGATCTAACAAATTATCGATCTGTGGTAACGAATACTTGTTCTTGATCGTTACTTTGTTCAACTCACCATAGTCTATACACAGTCTTAAGCTACCATCCTTCTTCTTCACAAATAATACTCATGGGGATATGCCAGAGAGCTTCTCTAATTGTTTCTCTAGTTCTGTCATCTCATTTGGAGCCATCCGATACGGAGCCTTTGAAATTGAGCTCGTTCTGGGCACCAGATCAATAGCAAATTCAATCTCTCTTTTAGGGGGTAGTCCACTAATCTTTGTTGGAAATACCTCAGGGAATTCCTGAACCACTGGAATATCCAAAATTCCTTCTTTTGTTTCTGCCTTCCTCGAGAAGAACACTATATAACTTTGGCAACCCTGTCTTAACCACCTATCCGCTTGAGCCACCAAAATCACATTCAATTTCACTTTTGCCGTAAGGGTTAACTCTCGGGTAGGAAGGATCAGTGTTTTGTTTTTACAGTCAAGGAGGACATTTTGGGAGGACAACCAGTTCAAACTAAGGACAATATCAATATCACAGAAAGGCATGCATATTAGGTCCAACATAGTGTAACAGTGGGCATACTAGACAACACAATTTAAACAAACAGCAGAAGTTAAAATTTTTGTTTCTGTGGGAGTGGAAACACACAAACCATATAGTAATGTGTCAACAGCAAGACCTAAGCACCTAGCACAATCATACGATATAAACGAGTGGCTGGTATCTGAGTCAAACAAAGTATCCACAAGGTAGCCATTCACAGTAACCGTATCTCGGATCATCTCAGGCAACTTATGAGCCTCTTCCCGACTAAGGGTGAACACCCTGTCCTCAGCCTGAGGTCTCCCCGTGCTATCGACACCTTGTGGGCACTCCCTAGCAAAGTGTCTGGGTTGTCTGCATCTAAAGAACATGCTTTGACCCATCATGCACTGCCTATCTCCGTGATTACGGCCATAATGTTCACGTTCCCTTCCTCGATGAACATTCTCTACTCCCTAGCAGACATTCTCCATTCCTCCTCGTCGGTTCCCTACCTCGACTTCCTACTCCAATTAAATGTCTTCTTTTTCTAGCTACCACCAAAAGAAGTACCTTCCTAACCCATTCTTACCCTTAGCTTCTCGCCTCGTGGGGTTGCTCTAGCCAGCTCAACATGATTCTGGCTATTCTCGGTGATATGACAGACTTTCACTGCCTTATTGAAAACTTCTAGCTGTCTCGAGACTACCTTCTCTCTCAACTCAGGCTTCAGCCCCTTAATCATCTTCTCCGTGAACTAATGTTCATCATTCATATACTAGAGGTAAGTGGAGTACCTGGATAACTTAATGTACCTTTCCAAGTACTCATTGAAAGGTTCATTCACAGCTTAGTTTATAATGAGGAACTTCACTTCTTTCTCATCCCTCACAGAATAGGGAAACTATTTTAGGAAAAATTGGTCCTTGAACACCTCTCATGTGACGGGGGGTTTCGTTAGCGTATAGGACCAATTTAGTGTTCTTCCACCATCAAATTGCTTCCCCTTCTAGCTTGTATAATGCTATCTAAGCCTTCCTCTCAGACAGACATTCCAAAATAGCAAAAATCTTCTCTAGCTGGGTTATTCAGTCCTCGGCTACTTTTATATCAAAGGTTCCCTCGAAAGTAGGAGGGTTGTGTTTAGTGAACTTTACAATCAACTGCTATAGTGTGTCAGGATCTACAGCAAGTTGAGGTCTCACAGGAGTGGTTTCCTGTGGTTGTGGTATGGACTAGGCTGTTCCGGCTATTCCTTGCCCAGGCTGCTGTAACTGTGCCAATGCTTCCGCTATTGCTGTAGCTATAGTAGCATCCCTCTCTTGTTCTTGCCTAGCTTGTGTGGCTTGTATCTCACCCATACTTCTTTGTTGTTCCTCTAACCTTTCCATAATTCTTTACATTGGATCAATAGGGGGTCTTGACGACTCTCCCCTTGTATCGACTCCCCTTCCTCTCGATCCTTGTCTTCCTCTTACCATTTTGTTGTTTTTATCTTAACTACAAGAGGAACATAATCATTAATTTACATAAATGATATTTATATTACTTTTCAAGTTATATATACATCAGGCACGGTCAGCAAAATATAGGGCCACAGCCCACCACAGTTAGCATAGCATAACATAGCATAACATACAGTCATCTTATATTTACAGCCCAGCGGAGGAAGAGGGAAACAAAGTAGCTACAAAAAGTTCTAAGTCCTCCAGCAGCTAATCAAAATCACAAGGCATCGAAGATCAGCAAAGCTGCTGGAGCTGTGTTTGCCAAACCTAGGTAGTGGGTAATATCTCTATCAGTACCCGACACCAGAGAGCATCATCCACAAACTAACTCTCCTCGACTACTTCATTATGTAGTATCCTCAAGTAATAGAAGTAGTTGAAATATGACCTGTCTTTCTTACACCTTAGGGCCAAATTCAAAATTAAAACCAAGGATTGTACTATAGGCACAACCTCGGGTCGTTTCACTTGTTGGAGCCTTAACTATTGATCCTAAGTTAACTAAATGCCATGAAAATGCAAATTGACTAGGGTAAAGTTGGGGGTTTTCATTAAAACTATTAATTGAGATAAAATGCAATGTAAATATATTTTTGGATTTTTGGGAAATTATGATGGAATGGATGGGAATATTGAAACAGTTGATAAAGCCTCTTGAAAATGGACCTTTGGCAATCATAGTTTAAAATGATTTTGGGGAGTAAAAATCACCAAGTTTTCTAAAGGAAAAACCTTAAAGAACCCTTCAAGTCTAGGATCTTAATCAATGGCCACCCATCTTATAAGATCCTATTAAGCTCACTTAGTGTGTGTATTAAGATTAATTAATGAACTTGGTTTAATGCAAGCCCAGATTAACTCAACAATCAAATAATACCATGCAAGAAAGAGAGCATCAAAAGAGTTGCATAGAAACATATATGTAACCACATATATTGAAGCTCAAATTCAACATTAACTAATCCAATATACAAGATAATCATCCAGAATTGATTACAACCATAATCATAACAGTTCAGCTCCAATTTACAAATCCTAAGACCTAGAAATTCATAAATAAACAACTAGAACTATAGATGAAGCTAACACCCCTTTGAAGCTCTTGGAACTCATGCCAATCAACCATCTTCAAGAGTTGAAGAACCCCTAGCCCTCCATAGCTCCAAGCATTGCTCCAACCAGTAGCAACAGTAGAATCTCCATGGAAGAAGAGGTTATGGATGGATTAAAGGGAAAGAAGATGGAATGTAATGAAGAATTGGTGGAAGGAGGAGATGAGAGGATGATTCAGCCAAAGAAAGGTGAGGAGAGACTGAATGAGGCTTCCCTAGGTTGAAACTCAGCTTATACTGGCTACTAGAGGTGGTTTTAGGTCGGGTTGAAGCTTAGGGATCTGAATCAGAATGCTGAAATCGTGACTTTTGCAATTCTGACAAATCTACCACGGCGGATGGTACTTTTTAGCCAAAACGCAAAGCTTCATTTACTAGGGCTCTAGTGTAATGTCTTGAATTCTGGGGTCCTTTTCTGCGATTAATTTGGTCTTTTACTACCTTTAAAATTGGGACTAAAGTGTGATTTCCAAATTTGCCCAATTTCTCCCAGAGTACCTACATGGAAAATCATACATAATATAGCATCAATTATCCTAGAAATCAATTAATAATAATTAATCTCCAATTATGACAATTTTGCCCCTATTATGCACTAATTCAAGGTAAGGCACTTTAATATAAATTAAGCACAATAAACACTAAAAGAGCTACTAACTATGATAAAAACCCTTAAAATGATATGAAAAGACAATGAAGAATTGGGTTCAATCAGTAGTCTAAGTAGACCGGAGCATACTAGTTTTAAGTTTGGTCTATATGTCTGCCCAGCTCTAAAAATTCCTTAAAGAGACTGTCACAATCCTTAAATTCCTTCTTTACTAATAGAGGTCTCTTCTTGATTGGCAGATCCTTAGCCTTGATCTGCTCCGGCTTCATAGTCCAGATAAGTACTGCCCTGATGGCACTAGGGCCCGCCTTATCAGGGTATGGTTGAGGTCTTGTGGTGCTTTGAGCGTCACCCTTTTCCAACTTCACTAAATCATTAGAGTCTTCCTCAGAGAATATGTCTTCTATCTCCCAGAGGGACTGGCCATGCCCGGGTGGTAGAGTTAGATCGTCGGGGTCTGGAATGTACGAGTAGTACCATTCGGGGTACAGTTCCCCCGACATCCTCTAACTCATTGTTTTTCTGAAGTCGTTACTACAACAGGCCATAACTTACTTGCACTCAACTCCACTTATAATATATCGATCCAGTAAAGCAGTACTCATTCATAATCAACCACAATTCATAATCCATAATAACAATTTATCACATTTTACAACACAAACCAATCAAAACAGAGGGATTTAAACACAGCCAAAACCTTTACTTTGATACCAAAATCACACCTCCTTTATTACCCCATTATATACTTCAATTGGAACCATTATAACGTGTTTTGCAACGTTTCCGAATGAAAATTTTCAACTTCAAAATTTTACCTTTAATTCTGTCCGTACACTGTTCATCCGAAATTGGGCCAACTTTGAAAATTCATAACTAATCCTAGAAAAATTGAAATGAGGTGGTTCTAATTTTTACAAAGCTTGCTAAGAGTTCTATACAGAAAAAATATTCATTGGACTCAATTTTATCTAGAACAGCACCAGAAAATTTGACAAATTGCACTGTTCATATGGTCAATTTTTGAATTTTCAGTATTTTTGGCCAACTTTGGAATGGCATAACTCTTAGCATAAAACTCCAATTTTAATGTTTTGCTACTTGTTTTGAAGCTAAAAATGAGGTCTATTTGCTTGTAAAATTTCATGTCCAAATTCTAACAATTACATATCATTTTATGTGCCACAAGATTGGTCTCTTTTAGGGTATTTTTATCCCCTAATTTCATTTTCTTTAATTTTTATTCCCCTTTTTCCTTGTCTTTATCCTTGTGTCATTGTATCATTCAATATTTCAATATTAGGGCATGTCATGGCAACACAATTTACATTATATTCTCATTCATGATCCATTACAACTTAACATAAAGTTCTTCAACACATTACATCACATAACATAGTGACATTAGTTCCATAATGCTCTTCTATCCCAACACCAATTCCTTGCCTTGATCCATGGATGAGCCATTCCCTAATTGAGACATAATTTGACATAGGAGGAATGAGATTTCATAGAAATCTCAGTAGTATTTGAATTACAATTATCATGTAAATCAAGCAAGTTACAATGTGACATGTTATAAAACTTCAAGACATCCTCATGTCACATAAAATCATGCTTAGTCTCATACTAGGAGGGAACATCAACACTTTCACATTAACACAAATCAATGCATTTGGCCAAAGTATAAAAAAAGGTTATCCAATCAACCAATATCACAACACAAGCTCCTAAATCCAAGCAGCCAACATATCACATTAAACAAGCAAGATAAACAATTAAATTATAATTCACAGCTATCTTTTATCACTTGATCAATTGGTCTCCATAAGGGATAACGATCCTCCTTAACTCCTCCTCACAAAGCCTATCAAATCAAGTATAAACATAGGCATATCAATAACCAAACAACTTAACACAATCCTTAAACTTTAACTTAACAATTTTCCTCTTTTTCTTTGATTTTTAACAAAATGATTCCTCTTTTAGAATCAATAACCTCATGGCTTATTCCTATACAATTTTTCATGAGAAATTCAAATATGGAATCATATTTTTAAAATTAAACTCCTTCCCCATGAATTCACCTTGACCGAATAGGGTATATAAACTTCTAAAAATTCTATTTTTGATTCTAATGATTTTAAGCACTTCCCAACAACATATCCCTACAC